GGGTGTCCTGTGAGTTTAAAAAGTGTCTTAAGCATTAGAACTTCTGTCTCCAGTTCCACGGTTCCTGAAGAATGCCCTCGTGGGCTCGTGGGGTAAGAAGCGTGCGGACTTCTCACCAGTTTCCCCCATGCTTACATTTCCTTGTGAAGGGAGAGCTTCCTGAGCCCTGGGTTTGGCAGTCACTTTGGCGCCATGAGGTCAGAGGACCAAAAGAAGAGGTGCTTTCCTACACACCACGGGCACTAGTCAATTCCATCTGCTTCTTGGGTACTCAACAGGAGGCAGACGAGATGGCTCTGTGACCTAACAGGACCACTGACAGTCAGTAGGGCTCACAGGGACGTCACTGACGGGCTTTGATGTGTAAGAACTGACCTGACTCTTCCACCGTGTGCACACATCATGCTCATGGTGTGTAGCCATGAAACGCATGAGTAGTTTCCAGTTCTATCCTGATTTATTCACCTAGTCATTACAAGGTCAATTTATGGTGAGAACTCAGACAACCAAGGGCCTCTATACTTTTTGAGGAAATAAAAAGTAGGATTAAATATGCAACCAAGAAATGTTTCCCAAATTCCCTAAAAAACATACATATATACACATTTGTGTGAGTACAAGCTCAAGAACATACATGCAATGTACAACTTATATATGTACACACAAATATGCATCTGTGCACACACACACAGACACAAAGACACATATACAGGTCCATGCAAGCTCACAGTGGCGTTAAAGATGGATTTCTCCTGACATACACATCTGTATTTCTATGTTTTTTCTTCCAGTTCTTCTTCAGCTGGCAAATTCAAGACTGCTCTTTCTATATCTTTGTCACTGTCCCCAGATCCATGATGAACACTGACAAATGCCCATTCTCTTTCTTTCCTGGGATATGCCCCACCTGCTTTTCTTTTTTCTTATAATTAATTAATTTTTGCTGACCCAGAGTATGCCTTTATTTTTGTGTGTGTGATAATGTGTTTTAATTTCAAATCTGAAGACAATTTTTTAAAAAGCCTAAAAACTTAATGTAAATTGTCTGGAAATTATTTTTTTAAAGTTTATATTAGGGGAAAAAGAAAAAAATAAAAAACATTATCTTTCATTATTGAAGAGCTACAATTATTTTCCTTAACAGCTATTATCTTAAAGACCAGGGCATGCATTATATGTGTACACACACACACACACACACACTCACACGTATCATATATGTAGTTACAGTAACCTGACATATAGTTTGGTAAAACTATATTATTATTTGCTCAAATGAGAAAATTAGATCAGCATATGGATTTGGGGAGGACGCCCCAGTCCACGATACTGTCCATATCCTATTATTCATAATTTTGTGTTTGAGAGATACATTCTCCAAGCCATCCGCAGCTCTGTGTTAAGTCTTTCGCTCAGTGTTGAAGTTAATTCCTGCATTGTGATTGATTCTGCTCTGGATGTGTACTGTTCTGCTGATGGGATTTATGCGGCCTCAGATTTTCCTGATAATCAGAACCTCAATGACTGTGACTATGATTCTCTCCCTTCTGTGAGTTGTTATCTGTGGGATAAAGGAAAGTGAGATCACTGTGTGTTAATGATGGCACATCTTCATTTTTGAGTGATATTTCAGATCAAAATGCAGCCTTTCCAACCTCAGAGGAAACATAATAATAAATCCTATAGAAATGAGGCAAATATCATAAGACCTTCTTTCTTGGCCCCTCCAGACATGCCCTGGAGCTCCCACTTCAGCTTGCCTGGAATTCAGAGAGGAAGTGCATCCCTCTGACTGCAGTGGAGCACAGCCCCAGTGCTCTGGGAGCTCCTCCCAGCTGGGAGGCTGGTGGCACTTCTCAGGGACATGCTACAGGAAGAGGCAGAGCACAGAGCCAGTCTTGAGGCTTGTGGGCTCAGAGCCAGGCTGCACGCTGCTGTCACTCCAGGCCACCAAGGGTCCACAGGGCCCAGCCAGGGCCCCTATAGAATTGCCCTTGTCTCCTCCCTCAGTCCACTGTTTCCCAAAGGATGATGCAGAACACAGTGAAAACTATTTCAGACTCACTGAAAAGAGGGGACATCAGACAAGGTGAAATCACTGAGCTTCTCCCTCACACCCAGGATGGTTGAAGACTCTCAAGATAAAGAAAATTTCAGCATTTCTGGTCCTTCTAGGTGGGTCTGAGAACTGGGGCTTCAGGGGGTGGTAGGGAGCTAAATGTCTGTGGAGGGGGATCGCGTGGGTTGCCGAGGACCCAGCATGTCCAGAACATTCTTTCCCTCTGTGTCAGTTCAGTCAAGCAAGGAGCTCAGTGAGGTAACCCTACATGTCCTTTTAATTATTTCAAGATTTAGAATCTTTTAAGTTGCCACATCATGGTTTATATTTACGGAGTCAGTGTGACAATTCCATGTACATACACAACTGGTGACGATCTCATCAGGGCAGTTAACATCTCTACCTTCTGAGTTTGCCATTCTTTCTACTGGGAGCCTTCAAGCTCTGTCTCCCCTGAATCTTACTGGAGCAAGCCTGGAAGCCACTTCAGCAGAGGTCAAGGCTCCTCTGTTCTGAGATGACACCTGATCCAGTCCCTAAGGCAATGATGGTCCAGATGATCATTGTCAGGAAGCTCAAGGACCAACTGTCTTCACACTGTTTTAATATGGAACTTAATGTAAACATATTTATTACAGCTAAGAAAAGGTCATTAAGCTTCTTTACTGGGAAAAATTAGGTTCACCTCAAATAGTCAGTCATCTTGCACAGAGAATATTCAGCATAACTGAAGACAAACACAGAGAACTGTGGGAGGTGAGCCCTTTTTCAAGCTTGCCAAACTTGATTTCCCTACACACTATGCTAAGGACACCAGTGCTCAGCTGAAAGGACCTCTGTGGGGGCGACAGGCACTGGAACTAGAGCATCCAGGGTGACTCGTGGGCATGCTGGGTTGGGTTGGTATTATTATGCACATAAAGTAATGAGTCTGTTTTAGAGAGAGAATTCTCTTGGGAATCACAAAATCCAAATTATTTATTTTACAATGAGAAAGACTGGAGCCAAAGAGACCCAGAAAATCTGTTAAGTTAGCATCCCCGCCCCCCGCCCTGTGGTCCTCACTGTGGGGCTGTTTTTCCTTCCTGGGAAGTGAACTCACTTCTCAGGTTTGATAGCCAGTGTACACACAGGTCACAGGAGGAAGCATCATCAAAGGAAGAGGATTATTTGGGGTTTAACAAAAATTACCACAAGGCTTAATTTCCTTCAGGACAAATAATTTTGAAAACACCAAGTGAGTGTGCGATTATAATGAAAATATCGGGCTGGGGCTGGGGCTGGGGCTCAGTGGGAGAACACTTGCCTCACACGTGTGAGGTACTAGGTTTGATCCTCAGCACCACGTAAAAATAAATAAATAAAATAAAGGTATTTTTATATTAAAAATATTTTAAAAAGAAAAGAAAATGTGCTGTGACTGCAGACTCTGCAGGAAGGTGGTGGCATCTTGCCTGACACAGTCTGGCTGGTCACCTGAGGGGAGGGAAGGAAGGGAGGGAGAGTGTGGGAGAAAGAAAGTCTCCTGCACAGTGTGTTTCTATGCAGCCTCTGGGGCAGGAACGGTGAACATTCTCCCATATTCCCTGTGCTCCTCCAATGTATCATCCATAACCACTATTGTTTCTTCATTGTAATGATACACCTATATGATTCCAAATTTCCTTTCCCTTTTTATCTCTCCTTTTTGCCAAAAGCTTTACTTTTCATTTTTCCTTTAATTAATTAAAATATTTGGCACCTGGAATTCAACCCAGGGGTGCTTAACCATTGAGCCACATCCCCAGCCCTTTTAAAAAACATTTTATTTATAGACAGAGTCTTGCTTAGGGCCTCGCTAAGTTGCTGAGGCTGGCTTTGAACTTTTGATCCTCCTGCCTCAGCCTCCAGAGTCACTGGGATTACACGTGTGTACTACTGTGCCTTGCAAGCTTTAATTTTTATACTTTAAATTTTATACTTTTGTGATGGAAATATCAGACCTGAATGAAATTATAACATCATTATGAGGAAAAGTCTATGCCTGGGGAAAGGGTTAATTCTCCTATACTGTGTAACTCTCTGAACGCTGTACAAACGTAGGTACATCACTTAATTGCTAGGCCAATTAACCTCTGTCAACTATGAGCTTATAGGCTTAGTTCTTTGGGAGGGAACTTGAGTTACTGCTGCCTGTGGTGAGGGCCACTTCATGAGAACACTCGCAGGTGTTGTACTGTCCTTGTTCTACAACCATGAACTATTTACCCTAAGTTCCCCGTGCATGATCTTCGGTCACGTAGGCAAGAATTCAAACCCACCAGTGTTGGGACGCTTATGAAATGATGTCAGATCTCCCATCAAAACCCCTTGTAACATCAGCTCAGGGCCCAGAACTTCAGAGCACCAGCTCATTTTGGTCCACAGGCTTAAATAAAGAAGTTCTTAATAAATAAGCAGGAAGTTCTTCAGCTCTTCTAGTGGTGCTTGGTCTCTTGCTGAGTGTGATTTCTATAACACTTTCATTTAATGCATTTAATAATAAAATAAAAACATTTTACTCTCTGTGAAAAATGTTACTAGGCAGTAAGAACAAGATTATTCCCTCTTAGAGCTGCTTTAGAAGTTCAATGGGTTATGCCAATAACTTCACTTATTAGTTCAGCTAATGAGTCAGGATATATTCTATAAAGTTGCCAACATTATTGTGAATATGTCAGGTCCACTAAAGGACATGTTTCTCAGTTTTCTCCCTCAGCCTTCTCAGCATTGCTGTGACGTGCATCAGAGTGGAGCTGGGCAGGTCGTTGAGCCTGCTGTGTCAGGAGAGCCGTGGGTGCATGCGTAATCGCAGAGCAGAGCTGGACCCTGCAGTGGTGAGCACATGCTATTGGTCCAGAGCAAGGCTCAGTGGGAACCTGTTACGCGTCCGCCCTCCCCTTCCCTCCATCAGGTCCACAGCATGGCGTCCACGGCCAACCACACGGTGGGGATGGAGTTCTACCTCACACCATTCTCCAAGGACCAGGAGCTCCAGCTTGCACACGGCTTCCTGTTCTTGCTGATTTACCTGGTGGCACTGGTGGGGAACCTTCTCATCATCGTCCTGGTCACCGTGGACCAGTGTCTCCACACCCCCATGTACTTCTTCCTGAAGAATTTGTCCCTCCTGGATGCTTGCCTTGTCTCAGTCACTGTCCCCAACTTCATTGTGAGCTCCTTGTGCCACAGGAGCACCATCTCTTTCCCAGGATGTGTCTCACAGGTCTTGTTGGTGATTCAGTTTGCTGGGACTGAGCTGTTCGTCCTCACGGCCATGTCCTATGACCGCTATGTGGCCATCTGCCACCCCCTGCACTATGACGTCATCATGAACAGGGGGCTCTGTGTGCGGATGGTGGCTGTCTCCTGGTTCCTTGGGGGCATCTTTGGGGTCTTATACTCTGCAGGAACTTTCTCTTTATCTTTATGTGGCTCCAGAAAACTCCCACAATTTTTCCGTGATGTCCCCTCTCTGCTGAAGATTTCTTGCTCAAAGTCACATGTCACCATTGATGTTACTGTGGTCATTGGAGTCACATTTGGACTTTCCTGTGTTCTGTCCATTGGATTTTCATACGTGTACATTTTCAAAACTGTCACAAGAATGCCATCCTCACAAGGACGGTCAAGAGCCTTCTCCACCTGCACACCCCATCTCATAGTGGTGACCACATTCATAGTGACAGGTGTCACTGCCTATTTGAAGCCAGTGCCGGAATCCCCACATCCTGTGGACTTTCTGGTGTCTGTTCTCTATTCCGTGATGCCTCCATCTTTGAACCCTGTGATATACAGCCTGAGGAACAAGGACGTCAAAGCCTCTCTGTGGAAGATTCTATGGAAACTGTGTCATAAGTATTATTGGGGAAACAAGAAAACTAGTTTGTAGGAAGGATCAGTGACATGTCGCTGGCACTGGAGATGCAAGGTCTGTAAGCTGCAGAGACAGTCACCTCCAGCCTTGGGAGGTAGAGGAAGCACACCCAATGGAGACCCCAGTCAGGAATGCAGCTCTGCTGGGGTTCAGCATGATGTGAGCGTTGCTGCCATTCTAAGTCTAGAAGCTATAAAATAATGAACTTCTTCTGTTTTAGGATAAGATGTTGGTGACACCGTATGACTGCAGCAGTATGAAATTAGCATGAGCCTAAAATCTTTGTCCCTGCAAATTCTCTTCAATCATACCTGGTGCGAACAGGTTTGCTGCCACTAAAGTCTCAGAAAAGCTGAGGAATGTTGGAAAGAACACACAATTCTTGCTCTCAATATCTTTACAATATGGCAGAAAATCTTTCATTTATGCCTATATTTTCCTTGTATTCACTCATATTACAAATAAAACATTAATCTGTTCTCATTTCTATTTTGTCATCAGCTTTATTATTATGAAATCAGATGTTATAAAAACTTCATCAACCTATCATTTCCTCAATTCTTGTCTTCGTTGTTGTTATGGATATTCTAGCAGTTAAAGTTGGTATTGATTGCCAGTTATTTTGCCTCTATTTTATCAATTTATCGATGCCTTCATCATTATCCATACTGCCCTTTTATATATTTTAAACTTATCAAGACACATTCTTATTGTGTGGGAGACTGAAAGTCTAGCTTAGCCTTTGTGGAGACACTACACAGTCAGATCAGCCCTGTTGAGAGTTTGCAGGCAGCCAAGCTGGGGCTTGTGGACTAGAGGGAGATGGCCCAGCAGTGTTCCCCTGCCTGAGGACCTGTGCTGTGTGGGGAGATGACTTCACACTGCATAGAAGGGGCGGGGGCTGTGAGGCCGGGACGCTCCTTACCAGTTCTGGGTGCCTATGGAGCATACCAGCCTGCGGAGCTTCCCCACGCAGGCTTCTTCTCAGCTCTGGGAGAGGAAATCTGATACCAGGGCAACGTGGTCTTTCCTGATGAGCACCCAGCATGGTTGGCTGATGGCTATGCCTCCTTGACTCCTCATGTGGAGGAACAGGGCTGGCTTGGACTTCTTGTAGGCACAACCCACCCCCATGATCTAATGATTTCCCACAATCCCTAGAACCAAGGACCATCTACTGGGGATCAGTTTTCAGCCTAAGTATTAGGAAATGTAAATATAAAGGTTGCTTTTCAGCAGGCACTGATGTTTAATAAGGAGGATCAAGGGCAGCCAAGTTCTTCCTAGGCTTAGGGAAAAAAAAAATTTTTAAATATTTTTTTAGCTACACGTGGACACAATATCTTTATTTTGCCTATTCATTTTTATGTGGTGCTGAGGATCGAGCCCAGTGCCTCACATGTGCGAGGCAAGTGCTCTGCCACCGAGCCACAACCCCAGCTCTGGGTGAAAAAAATGTAATCTACCAAGATTTGCATCACAGGGACAATTCCTCAATTCTGAAATAGTCATTTCATTCAAATTTGGGTCAGTGATGATTTCTTTAAACTTTGTTAATTATGTGACATCTATTTTGACACATTGATTCTTATTTGACAATTTTCACTTTTCCCCCCACAGCATTGCTCATCTTGGTGGGATTTATGGGCAGCCCACTCCTTCACACTTATTTTGAGGTATCCGATTAGTCAGATACTGGATTTTGATATGCACATGGAGCTCTCTGGACTTTCTGTGCAAAAGAATTCATATTTTATTTCTTTAGATATATCACAGAAGAGCTTGATCCCCAATTCTGAACTTTAAAAAAACATTACAATTTTTTTTAGAGCAAGGGAAATAGAATTCCCCAGGCCCTCTCCTCCACGGAGACAGTGACGTCACAATAACATGTGACAGCACCGGGTACAGCTGACAGGGTGCAGCACCCAGGCCTCAGTGTGCTGAGGAGCTCTCTGCTTGTCCTCTAGAGCCCCTCTGTGGCCAGCAGAGAGAGGGGCTATTGGGAGAAAAGTCCAACTTGCGGCTTCTCCCTTGGGGAAGGGAAGAGTGTCCTGTGCATTCAACATCCTGTGTTTGAGGGCATTTTGAGTGGCTGGTTCAGCCTTTCTTGAGTTGCAGCTGGGAGGGGAGCTGGCACTGTGGCTGCCTCAGCACACAGAGCCAAGGTGAGTACAGCAGCCGCTTCCAGAAACTGCATCACCACAAGAAGATGCTAGCCAGGGCTGAAAAATTATGAACTGTAGGGGGTGGGTGGTGGGAGGAGGGGAGAGACTGCAAAGAAAATGGGGGTGGGTGGAAAGACTTCAACTGAGATTAACACACAAATGCCCAGAGAAGACAGGTCCTCAGAAACATTAACAAGTCCTCCCTACTCTCTAGCTGGCATGATTGGTGCCTTCTCCTGTGTGAACCACTAGTAAAGACTTTAAGAGGGTTTGATTTTTCATTGCAAATGCCCAAATACCAACAGTGAGAGAAAGAAAAATCACAAAATTACAAAAAAACCCCATGAAACATGAATCAATAAATGCAACAGAATAAAACTCCAGAAACTAAACCTAGAGACACTGAGGTTTGTGAATTCCCTGAGGAGGAAATAAGAACGACCTTAATATCAACGTTCAATGTACTTAAAAATAACACATGCAGATAACTAAACAAAATCAGGAAAATGATGCTGTCAATAAAAAGAAGATATCAAATTTTGATTTGAAAAATATAATAAGTGAATTGACAAATTTACTAGAGGTATTTAATAGCAGACTTGAACAAACCCAAGAATCAGCAACCATGAATACAGGTAATTTAAGATTATCAAGGCAAAGGGGGAAACAAACTAACAAATAAACAAAAAAGAAAAGAAAAATAAAAATTAAATAGAGCAAAGTGAAGATAAAGCAGGGAACTGATGGGGCATTAGCTTGTGGATCAAGGGAATTCCCAGAGGAGAAGAGAGGGAAAGAGCCAGATGTCGTAAAAGAGAATCGAGGTGGAAAAATTTCAACGTTTTAAGAATGAAATGTATGTACAAACTTGTGAAAATCCAATAAAATAAATCCAAAAAAAAAAAAAAACCTATACCAAGGCACCTTATAAGAAAACTTCCAGAAGTCACACAGAGAACCCTAAAAGAGGGACAAAGTGACTGGGCAGATAGCAGGGAGCTTCCATTGTATTATCAGCAGACTTCTCAGCAGAGACTCCACCAGCCAGAAGGGAGAGGAGCAGCATATGCAAGACTCTAGAAGAAAAGGAGCTTCCTGCCAAGTAGGATTCCCGCAGCCAAACTGCCTTCAGAAATAATGGGAAACCAACTTTCCTGAGCATGTTAAACATGACTAGAGTGTCCCCAAATGCCGCAGTCCGGCTGCAGCAAAATAACTGGGGGGTGAAGAGCAACTAGTGTAGATTGATACAGCAGGAGTGGGAGCCATTTATTGTAGTACAGGAGGGGTATATATACATTACACACAGCTTATCTTAATTAACATAAACTAGATACAGCAGTCAAACAATAAGGAATCTCCACACTTAATGGCTCGCTGGCCTTACTTCATAAACCACTCCCTCTGGCAAAATGCCAGGTGCCATCTTGTTTACAGACCCTAACACCCAAAGAAATGCCAACAGGAGCCATTCTAGTGGGAATGAAGCAACTCTAGATGCAGCATCAGAATATACAGCGCCAAAGCTCTCAGGTGAACGTACAGAAAACACGGGTTTTCTTTACTACTGTAATGTTGGTGTGCAAATCACTTCTAACTATGGTGTATAACAACATAGGAATGCCTAAAATGATCACAAAACCATGATACATATATATTATGAAGAGATGGGATTGTGACATCAATTACATGAAGCTGAAGAAATGCAAAAAAAAGAAAAAAAATAGATGGTGTATGTTATTTCAGTACAGCTATCAGTCAAACACAGATCAGTGTAACTTCAAGACATTTTATCTGATCCCCAGGGTCATCACAAAGAAAACCATTTGTGGGAAATGTGTAAGAGGGAACAAGACTCCAACTGTGTGACTACAGAACAGAGCAAAGACAGGCAGCCCCAGAGGGAAAGAGGGGCAGTGAAGGAGGAGGGTGTGGCGCAGGGGTGCCTCCGAGGTCAGTAAGTGGGGGGCCTGCAGAGCTCCGGGGACCAAGGGCACCGTGCATCCTGTCCATCACCGCACTTCAGAGGAATCGATCAAACTCTCCAGGCAGAAGGCACAGGCAGGTTAGATGGACATTTTAAAAATGAGACTCACCTTCCTGCTCAGTCTGCAAGGAACTCAGGTCAGCTCCGAGGACATGTGAAGGCTGACATGAAAACCGTGAGGAAGACCTCCACGCTGGCCAGCCCAGGAGGCAGAGGGGCCATAAGGTAGCCAAGGAGGTTTCAAGCTGGAAGCTCCACAGGAGAAAAGGCACAGGCCCTGCGGTGGCTAACGGATGGATCGCTATGAACAAAAACCACAGCCCCCAAGCCGCCGCAGGCTTCTTCTCTCAACCAACCAGCCTGTTCACCGCCCACCCGACTGCACACCGGCCTGCGCCCGGCTCCGGCTGCAGATCACCAGATTCGGTTTAATCCGAGCGCCCTGCCCAATCTCTGAGATCTCCGAACACCAGGAGCGCTGGACGTGTGCTGACCATCTTGTCTCTGCACCCAACCAACTGCGCTCTTCCCATCACCTGAAGCACCCAAGCACGTGGGCCAGGAGAGCGGCAGCCAGACTGCTCCAAGGTCAACGCCAAGAACAGGTTCCCAGGACCGGGAAGACGCTGAGGTCCACACTGAGTCTGTGAAGAGGAGGAAGGCCCCGCCGATGCTCCCCTGAGGTCAGCCACAGGGCACTGCGCGGGCTTCTCACTCCGTTTTGTGAACCTAGCAAGGCGCCCTTGGTTCCTGATCTCTGGAAGACCCTCTTCTGAGGATCTCCCGGCAGAGCTTGGGCTCTGCTGGAGGTGTGTACAAACTGCTCGAAACTTTGACCTGGAGCGCGAGGTGCCCGCCAA